TTCCATATGATTTACTAACAAATTCATTAAAAACATGATTTATTGCTAGACATGCACCAAACCCAAACGGTTTGGGTTTGGTGAGTTTGGGTATTGGGTTTGGGTTTGGGTTTGGGTTTGGGTATTGAGTTTGGGTTTGGGTTTGGGTTTGGGTATATGAGTTTGGGTTTGAGTTTGGGTTTGGGTATATGAGTTTGGGTTTGGGTTTGGGTTTGGGTTTGGGTTTGGGTTTGGGTATTGAATTTGGGTTCGAATTCTATGTGTATTTACTTTGTATATAGTATTGAAGTAGGCAGTATTCTTGCAGTACATCCTAATATGTAGAATTATATGACTGAGATTGGTATATCACATAAAAATAAAATTAGGACTAGAAAATCTTATTTTTAGTGAATTTGCTCGACTTAATGTTGAAATACCATTAAAAGTAAAATCAGTGTGCCGCACTTTGGTAGCCTATAAATATCTCGCAGCTTCATAGATTTATCTAAAAGAGTTCATATTGTATTTAAATCTTAATACTATTAGATGATGTATCTTTATGACGAAATATATAATTACTACTTTGTTGCAATGTAACAGGTAGATAATAGTTTAATTGAAAACGTTTTTAAGTTCCAATTTCAATTACTTACGCTATGCTTTGTATAAAAACATCTTATTTTAACGTATGGTTCGAATTCTTTTATTTCAATGAATATAAACACAAAAAGAAGTAGCATTAGGAAAAAAAATAACAATTTTCAAATGACATTATATTAATACTAATTACTCTAGTATTATTTTTTTCTTTCAGTTTTAAAGCTTATCTTTAAGAAAAACTGACATAGCTAGATTATCTGGTGATAATCGCGAACGTTCTTTTCTTCCATAATGTGCAGAAACAGAAAAAGCCGATTCGCTTTGGACGCTTGTAGCAGAAGCTGATAAAAAACACCGAGCCATATCTGATAATAATGGTAAATCAACACCATGTTGTTTCCAAAAAAGTAAAGAATTTGTAAATTGATTATCGATGAAGATTCCCAGTAAAATTATCTCACATTGTTAAATTTGAATTAATATAGACTTTAATTAAGCATACTTTGTCTAATTTAAGAAAATTTCTTATAGAACTTTCGAGTAACTGCGTTTATCTACTTCAATGAAAACCAGCTTTTCAGTAGAAAGTAACTAATTTGATACACTAAAAATCATCTGTATACATATAGCTTAAAAAGAGATCAATATTCTGAGTGTATGAGCTTGGGGTATTCTGATATTTATCACTCTTGTGATTTACTTTCCATCACCGAAGGAAATTTGTCTTCTGCAGTGGATAAGAAATAGTTTTGGTACCTTCCTGTAACTAAGTTGTTCACAATCATAACCGAATATATGACGAAACTTCGATGGTACAAACCAAGAATTTTGTAGACAGAAACACGTGTAGTGAAGTTTAATATCAAGCTCAAGTTACAAGTATTAACAATTTTTGCTAAATATGATCAGTCCAATTATATATCTAATTATAATAATCAGTTACGTGCATTTTTACAAATCTGCGTCGAGTAATATCGTCTAAGTATTGCACCTAAAATAAGATTTTCATACGTACTATTTAGTTGCCAAATTTCGATATCTTTTTATATCTGATTGAATGGTAGATGTTGCTATTGGTTCTTGAAGTAAATCCTTGTTAGTAGATCTAAGAAAACCTTGCCAAGCTTTGTCTATATTAGTTATTTTTTTCGTTTGTTGATTTGATGATGACGAAGAAGTTTCTGATGATAAGAATAAATTTTTATATAATTTTGTTATATCTTTTTCAATTATTGTTTGTTCAACTCTTGTAAGAGCCGAAAAACCAGTTGGATCAAAATATGAATATAACTGAAAAAAAATATAAGTTATTTATGTAATAGATTAAAATAATGCATATCACTTACTTTTAACGTATTAAATTGTTCTACATCATCAATAATATACTGTTGAAATTTATTCAATACAATTTGTTTTAAAGCATTTAAAATTTCATTATTATCTTCTTTTGTAAGATGTTCTTCTAGACTTTTCATAAGATATAATGCAGATCCAACAGTTGGATATTTTGTATTGCTTAAAACTTTTGTGGCTGAATAAAATGGATGTAATAAACTAATAATCAAATTTAAAAGATCCCATTCATCACTTGATAGTTCAACACGTGTTAATTTTCTTCGTTGTTTAGCTGAAAGATCAAGACTTCCTTTTGATTTGAACATATCATTAATAAAATCACGATAGAGATTAACTGTATGCAGCATCTTATAGGTACTGTTCCATCGTGTTCTTACATCAATTACCAAACGTCGTTTGATTTTGTTCTTTTTGTTAACACGTACATTAAAATTTAATCTTTGTTTTTCAATAAAACTAGTTAATATTGATGATCCTTTAATTGTATTAACAATCTCACGTGTTTTATCAATCGTATCTTTAACCATTTGTGGTATATAATCAAGTAATGTTTCTTCGGTATTAATTCCTTCAATAAAATTATCAGTTGCTTCATCATCATCTTCCTCATCCATCCATTCTTCATCTGATGTTGCATCAATCAATTGATCATTCGACTCTAATTCACCATTGACATCATCACCTTCCTGCATAGAAAATTCAAGTTTAAAATCAATAACCTAAGACTTGATTATTGATAAAGTGTTACATTAGAACTCGAATTTATAGCTTACTATCGTCTTAAGCTACTCTCACAAAAACATTTCCTTTTAGCATGATCTACCCGGACTGAAATTTTCAGGAATGAGTAGTCCTAATTAGAAGCGCTTCTAAACAAAATTTCACTCCGATGCGTCAAACTAGACCAAACTCATAACTTATCTATAGGCAATTTATGGCCTTCGGGCCAATTCCTAAAATTTGTTCACTACAAGGAGTACAGAACCTGAATGATTTCAAATTAAAGTCAACACCTGTATACAATTTTTCATCGAATAGAATTTTAAAAATTGTTTCGATTCATCTTTTATGATTATTTTAATATATATGGTGTTAAGATAAGCAAAAAAACAGCCACTTCAAAACACTAAATCATGGCTGTCTTGAAAAAGAAACCAATCACAAAAAAAATCTGGACGAACAAAATTTTTATTTCATTTTGATCTTTAAAACAAAAAATCCTGGTTATATCTTGAAGCAGATAGGTTGAGTTTCAATTTCTCCAATAAAGAAATCATGTTCTGAGAAAAAGGGCAAATAAGTTTAGATATGAATTTTTTTATTCAGATCCAGGAAAAACGGCATATGCGAAATATTAAAAGAGTTCAACAGATTTCATAAGCTAGCATCATGTGTTGTGTTTAAGTTGTAGAAGAGTGTTTATTCAACGATAATGCAAATAAAAAATAGTCTTCTTAAGAATAAAAAAAATACGAAAATCTTTTTGAAAACCGGCTAGTTCGTGGTAAATCTTCTCTGAGTCTATTAAAATTTGGTCTCTTTTTGAAGTCATATTTATTCTGAAAGAGAGAACTTCGCTGCGTCTTCCGATGAGAATAGCTCGACTTCCATTAATTTTTCAAAAACATTGGTTTTGTCATGAAGAACTTAGCCCATAATAGGACTGAAAACTTATTTTACTTGACATCTATCATTACGATTAACGTTGAGGAATAATAGACTGTCTTCTTTTCGATATCACAAAACGATTGTTGTTTTTGTTATGCATATGTGATAGTGTTTTTATTTGGTGATAGCTTGCACTTAAGATCTATTTATAGTCATATTTTTCACGATTGTTTTTTTTTCTTTTATAAAAAAAATATTTGAACAATTACAACTTAAGTATTACCTATTAAATATATATTATAATACAAGGGACGCTTCTATATTGATTAAAAATCTGTTGCTATTTGAAATGAGCTCAATAATTATTAATAACATACTATGAAATCAAAGCTGAATTAAAAAAAATTACTGATTCAAATGCCTAATTTTTTCAATATAATTTAAGTAACGATTCATACATCATACTTGATTTCGAGGATCATTCGGCAAAAAAAATTGTTTTATCAACCCAATAAGACTCATCACTCATAATTGTTTAAACTATCTGATGATCAATGTTCTGCAATAAAATTTATAGAAGAAATGGCCTTCAGCAACTGATAGTGACTAAATCAATTTTTACTCTTTAAATGACCTGCTATTTTATTTGCTTTCTACTATTACAAAATTTATATTTGATCTTGAAAACTACAACTGAAGAGAATAGAAATTCATAACTTACTTTTGATGTTCCATCACTTTCACTATCATCATTGGTTATTTCGTTAGATAATGAAACAGTATCAAAGGACATCGTTCTCACCATCTGATTTAAACTAATTTGAGCTTCATCTTCATCATCTTCCATTGTACCAGTTTCAATACCTTCTTCACCATCTGTTGTATTTTTTTTTTTTTTTGATGCAACCCAGAGATTCAAACTGTTGCATATGATTAAATGTAATTTGTGAGCAGTACAATGTATATATTTTATATTTCGACGAGTAAAATAACTAAACATATCGCGCATGTTAGGCGCGCCGTCACACGTGATGGTGACTAGTTTATCATACAAGTTCAGGTTAATTAATTGATTTTCAATTTCATTTGCAATCAATATTGAATAGTGACGATCTTCAAATGTCATAAATTGTAATATTTTCGAATGTTGATCGAATTTTTTGTCAATATGATGTCCTGTAATTACTAGATATGAGTTCTTTTTTCGGTCTTTCCAAAAATCACAAGTAATAGATAAATATTTAGCTTCTTCGAATTCAATTTTTGTCCGATTAGAATGGTGACGATAAAGACGTTTCAGTTCTTTTACCACGGTATTTCGATGAGGTGGTTTATAACCTATTACAAAATAGAGATTTTAAGTGATGAGACTACATTTTTGTGAAACACGATCTGAAATGAGTGTTGAAATGTTTAGAGGTAGAAATTTGAACCCTCCCCCCCCTCCTTCACAGACCGTGACAGGCAGGGCTTTGGGCCCGTCACAGGTCGTGACAGACAGAGCTTTGGATCCGTCACAGACAGGACTTGGGATCCATCACAGACCGTGACAGGCAGAGCTTTGGACCCGTCACAGACCGTGACAGGCAAGACTTTGGATCCGTCACAGACTGTGGCAGACAGGGCTTGGGATCCATCACAGACCGTGACAGGTAGGGCTGTGGACCCATCACAGACTGTAACAGACAGGGCTTGGGCTCCACCACAGACTGTGACAGGCAGGGCTTGGGATCCACCACAGACTGTGACAGACAGGCTCTAGCGGTCGTCATAGACTGTGATAGAAGACTTCAAGGACATATCAGAGATAATGCATAAGTAATATATTATTGAACCATATATAGGGTATTATCCTGCTCTAGTTCTATAGTGTAAAGAAAGCCATGATGAATAAATGTACTCAATATGCGTAAAAAACAATAGTTTTTAGAAGATTGGCAACAGCAGCTACATGGTATTTCAAATTTTTAATTCCGCAAGGGATTGCACTAACAGCTTTTTTTCAGAAATAAGACAAAAGATCAAATTTTGAAGAATCATGATACAGAGAAACTTTTTTCAATTACAGAATTCTTTATATTGTCATCTTTAGGTTCAACAACATTGTCATTCTGTTGATAAAGAAAAAGAATAAATTTTACTTATTTGTGTAACTTCTCTCTGTCCAGATTGACCTGTTAATGTAGTATTAGGGGCATATTTTGTATGATGTTAACAAAGAAGGAAAAACGGCTCCTAGCAGTCGATAGGATAAGTTCCTTGGAGTGCATGTAACCTATCAGATCTTACTGCAATTCACTTGGTTTCAATATAGTTCATTAGAACTAGCTAAAGTTCGCTAGAAACTAGAATAGATCTTAGAGTTTTACACGGATTTAAATTTAATATCGAAAGTATGAATTCTTTTAAATCTTAAATTTACTAAACCCGTCAAGATCCACCGAGATCCATAAATGTCTAGCAAAATTTACATTTCTTAGATGCATCTTTTCTTTCTTACTTAAAACTTAAAGGGTTAACTGTCCCTATGTTTGCTTATTTTCCTCAGTTCCTGATAAATTCTAATGGATCCAATATACTCTAGTAGCTTTTGATGAATGTTAGGATCCATCACGATCCAACTTTTTCTCTCTTAGAAATCAATTAATTCGAAATTACCAACAAGAACTTTCAAATATTATCAGAAATCAGTTCACATTCAAGAATGTCGAAATCAGAAAGTTTCGAATTCATGAATTGAGGAAGTTTTAAAAACCTTTTGTTAAAATTATATATTTTTTTTTCATTTCTTTTATTGTTCCCAAAAGAATAGAGTTAACATAGAAACAAATATATAGAGAGGATTATGGTGACAATACATGGTAAAATTATTACAAGGTCGTTTGTTAATATAAGATAGAAAATTAATTTTTTTTTGTCATCTTATCATTGCTATCTTCTTGCACTATACACTAATTCGCAATATTTTCTTTTTGAAAATGTCTTAGTCGTTACTTAGTGGAAATGTAAGATATAACAATAGAACAAATAGTACTAAAAGGAAACAAAATAAAAGTAGTTGTAATCGCGTAATAAAGAAAGATAACATATAGCAAAAGTTAATACAATGATAATTGCTACTATATTAGTAGACACATGTAGAGAAGATGAAATTACAAAAAAAAACTATAATTATATTTTTATGAGAGAATAGCCTTGCTCAGTTTACTATAAATATCTTTTATATATAATGCATCTACAGCCGATTTTCAGCGGTTTCACGAACACATCATTAAATTTCGATACTCATTATGAATTTTTGCTGTTCTTG